ACATGAAATTTTGGCATAATCTTGCACCTAAGTATGTGATATTCAAATTTCGCTTTCTGGGTCAAAACTACTCGAATTTCCTCACTCACGTTGTTACGACTGAATCGACTTTTAAATTCTCTATCCGACGATGCCAAAACGAATTATGTGGCTCGAATGGTTCTTCAGAACCAAAGCAAACTGTAGGTGACTGATGTACGTCCTATGGATGAGGTTCTTTTTTAATTGCGGTTGATTTCAAACCAAAATATGCTTTATTGCCAAAGAAATATTTTACAATGGAATTTTATGGACAAAGAGAGAGAGAGAATTGAACAGTATCTCGAGGTCGTATCTTGAATTCTACTCCAAATTCGAAATATGTTTCATGTGTAATACTCGTATCCTATACTCAAGTATAACTGTTTTTGATACATTCGAAATTGTATGTAAAAAAGTACAGCTGCAACCAATCCAATAATTATTCATTTTTCCTATAAGGGAATATGAGCTGCTTAAATTAAGTTACTACTTTAATTAAGATTAAGTCGCATTTCTTGTTGAAAAGGACGTATCTGCATCTGCACTATATCGGAAGAAGAATGTATCCATCTTATACGAAAAGTCGCAGAAGCAAGTAACGAGGCAGGCCTGCATATAAACAGAAAGAAAACCAAAATAATAACAAATCTGAAGGAAAAAGGATGAAATATCCAGACAGTTGACGCTTTCATACATCTTGGTACCACAATCTCGAGCAAGGGCGGATTCAGCGAGGAGAAGCGCAACAGCGAAAGAATCCATGACCAAACTAACCAAAGTATGAAAAAACTTTCACATATCCCTTAACACCAAAATCAGATTAGTCAGAAGTCAGTCAGAAGCTTGGGGTTTTCAGTCTTTCTATATAGATCAGAATGCTGGACGCTAAAAAGGACGGATAAGCGTAAGATAGATGCCTTTGTCGGCACAGAATGCTTAGAGTGTCCTGGACTGAGAAATGAACCAACCAATCCATTCTCGACCAACCCAAAATTACGAAGAGATTGAGCATTGTTGTGGCGGAGAAAATAGCTAAATGATTGGGTCATGTGGTTATAAGAAATGGTCTTGAGAGACTCACTTTGGAACGAACAGTCGCTGGCAAAAGATCAAGAGGACGGTCGTCTACAAGATGGATCTTATAACCTGCAGTAATGGAACTTTCAAAAAACCATTTCGTTCAATTTTTGCACGACTTACCACATTGTACTGAACAGTGAGACCACTCGGTAACCAGCCACGATGAAATTCCACTTCGATGAGTAAACTGGGGCGACACTGCAATTTTGGGCTGTGAGGGTGAAGGGTCGTAATTCGAAGAATCACAAGAGCCCTGATTGCAGTACTCCGCATGTGCTGGTCGATTCTCAGGATGGCACTGTCCCGAAGGACAGATGACTGACCGTGTCCTGTGTCCATTTCCACATGTCACTGAGCACTATGTGAGTGTTAAGCTGTTAAACAAATCGTTGCTGCTTTTAGGCAAAGCTCAGTGGCCTTACCGAGGACCAGCTTCCAACACTCCATTCCTTTCTGCTGATAATTGCAGGTCTGCCAGTCTCCGCCGTCTGGGGCAGTTCGTTATCGGACAGTCCTCTAAACAACTCGCACTCCCGTTCCTGGCAGGCTCTGGTTTCTGGGCTTGGCTTGTTGGGAGCGCATTGCACATCACTAACAACGATCAGTTTTCCTACAAACGATATTTTTCTTTGAGAATATCGTGTTAGTTGCACTTTTTGCTAACCATTGAGATTGCGTTTGCACTGCGGAATAAACTGCTGAACGCCTTCTCCACATGATACTGAGCACTGGCCCCAGAAGCCATCCCAATAAGCTGCGCTGCATGGCTCTTCGTTGCAAGAAATCGGCGTAAGGGCTGGAGGGTCCAAATGGGCGCATCGTTTTTCGTTCATGGGAATTTGATGCGAGGGGCTAATGATTCTGTAGCAGGCGCGAATGTAGGTTTTTGTGCCTGGGAACGACGAATTCGATTAAAAACAAGCCCTTAGTGGACCTGGAAGTAAATTTAAAATTTTTGACAGTCCTCCATAGATCCATGATACTTTAAAAAAATTAAATACTTTAGCCGCAACCTTCTGATTCGTATAATCTGAATCGATATATCGGGTTTTGATATAGAATCAACGAAGAATAGATTAACTCGCTAGATTTGGTGCTACTGGAATACTTTCGTCTAGCTGGCCCGTCAAACCTTGTTCTGCCATATAAATTATTTCTAGTGAATATTTTGGTTGTTATATAAAAAATAACAAATGTATTGTAAGTGTGTGGGGATCGGAAATGGAGTGGAAATAAAAAACATCGCAGAATGATGTCCTGGCCACGTCGAATCATCATACGATACGCATAAAAATCCATCGACCCCAGACACCCTAAGCACCTAGCGGTATGAATTATACTTTACCACCTATTCTGATACTTACCAAATATACATAAAAAAATTCATAAAAATCGGTAGAGCCGTTTCGGAGGAGTTCGATCACAAACACCGTGACACGAGATTTATACAGGGTTATTCACGCTATACGGCACGTAAGTTAGCGGCCAAACCGTTTGATTTTTAAAAATTATTATTTGATGAATTTTCCGACGCCTACCGGGCGCACATTTCAAAAATATTTACGTAATGTACAGGGTGTCCCAAAAGCTCTAAAAGTATTAAAGTTGCGTTTTTTTTAATGGAATGTCCTGTATATTAACTGAACAAAATAGGTGTCTGTTTTAATAGGTTTATAATACCTAAATCTTAAGGTTTTTTAAATAATACGGATTTAATCAAAATCTAATCTAATTTTCATGTGTCCAAATACTTTAGAAGTATTTAAGTTATGTAAGCGTAATTTATAGTGAAGTATAACAACGTATAATATTATATATCCCAATGATAATAAACTTACCATGTTATACAGAGTGTCCACAAATTTAAACTAATCAAATAAGAACTTTGAGTGGCTCTAACTTGATTAATTTAAATACAACCCCATATTTTTTAACTTA